GGTAGGACTGAGTGGACTTGTAGGCTCTTCAGTTTTACATTGTTTTATTTTGAGTGCAGTTATGTAAAAAAAATTATATCTGTAAGTTGTACTTTTATGATCGAGCTTGTTCTACAGTACTTTCATGGGGTGAACTGAAAAATACAATATATATCTTTTTCACTGTGCATATAGTTGTAATAAAATTAACGTTGAGTGTCTGTGGTACACTGTTTTCTATGTTGTAATTGAAATCAATATATGTGAAAATGTAGAAAACATCCACAACAATTTAGATAAATGGTATTCTATTATTGTTTAACAGTGTGATTAAAACTGCAGTGAATCACAATTTTTTTTAAATCTCATGATTAATTGTGATTACTTTTTTAAATCATTTGACACTGAGATGCAGCAGTCTTTTACCAGGGCAAGGTTCTTCCTTTCCCACATCTGTTTATCAGCACTTTGTAGAAACTGGCAGAGATTTGCTGTCAGTTTGGATTTCTTTTCCGGTTAACACAAGAACTCCTGGGAACTGACAATGATCTCTCCTTTCACTTTGGGAAGAATCAGATTTACTGAGTGCCTGTGATTCATGTACTGATGATCACTTGCCATTAGAAAGCCACTTGTTTAAAAACCCCTTTTTGGCTCACTGCATTTTTACTGGCTTTGGTCAAAGTAACACAACAAAAAAGGACTATGGAGGCTTTGCTTTATGTATCTCTTAGGTGAATTGGTTGTAGAAATTTGGGACACCTAGAAGAAGAGAAGCCACTGGAGAATCCAGATATCAGATGGAGTAAAACCAGAAGTCTTTGGATAGCTGTGTGTTTCAACAGCTGCTCCCTTTTAACCTCAACAAACTGTGTGAAATCTCTTCCCCTTCTCTCTCTCTCTCTCTCTCCTCTGATTTAAAAATGTTGTAAATGATTGTTTTCAGTTTGTCACGGTTGTTGTGGTTATGCCTATCTACCTTTTACTAAAGAACCTGAGCTCCCAAACAAGCACCTCCCTCTCCCTTCCATTTATAGAAAAGTACAGAACACATAGAGTTAGAAATAAAGCTTGGAATCTCTCCAGAAATGCTGTTCTCATATTATTTCAGCACTTCCTATCTTAAATCAGACTTTGAAAAGGAAAAAAATACAAGAAGTTAGCAAGACTTTTTGATCCTTGACAATTGTTCTCTTTGCATTTGTTCTCAGACGAGGGGTAACTTACTTTATCCAGACCGGTTTGCCCATCACTGTTTGAGTAGTACATTTAATATGATAGTCCTGTTTGCTAATGATCAAACTTGACAAGCAAAAAAGGTTCCCTGCTATTTATCTAAAGAAACATGAGCTAGGCAAGGTTGTTGTTAGCATGCAGAAAGTAATTTCATAGCCTCTGGGAGGATTTAATCAAGCCTTGTATACTGATTGAGATGCACTGTTCGAAAGAGGGGAATCTGATTAACGAAATAAAAATTCTAGAGTGTTTTTCATGCAAACATTCATCAGGATATCTTATATAATTACATAGCCAGTAAATCAACACGGTGTGTAAATGCTTCAGTCATGGTGTAAATATCTTAATGACTGAAACATCTTTAGACATGAATAATTTATATCTGTATGATTCATTTTTCATACCCATGGTTTACTTCAACATGATAAACTAATCCTTCTCTGTCAGGGGATATGCAGTTGATTATCCTTTCCAGATTTCTCTTTCTTGCATTTGTTTTTCTCTATTAGACACACTCCATTGCTTTTCTTCTTCGTTTTCTAATGTAGCTGTTTTATTTATTCACCTTGTCTACTGTAGTTTAGTTTACCTTCCCAGTACATCTCAAGAGACATGTAGAAATGCAGCCAGGGCATAAGCTGATTTTTCCTCTCACAAGTAGCTTTTACAATAATTGCAGCTGTATCTTGAGACATTGACTGATTATCACCAAATGACATTAGTACTTCTTATTTCTTTGCCATTGTAGAAGAGATGTACGTTATGGGAAGTATTGTCTAGTGATAGGCCAATGCCAGGTTAACATTTATCACTTGCAGCCTCTTTATCAGTACAGCACTTTACTACAATATTTATAACAAAAAGGCTTCCTTCTTCACAGAGTACCATACAATACTGATGCTCAGCTAACTTGTTTGTAATTCTAAATATCAGTGGAAAAAAATCGGCTGAAAAAATGGCAACAGCGGAGAGCCAGGACCTCATTAGTTCTTGTCTTTACAGAGGACACCATCTTTTGCAATAGGCAAGTCAGATAGGGGGAAATGTTTCAGAAGGATACTTCTGGATGCCTCTGTTTGGGGAACTCCACTTGAGATGTTTTTGGCCTGATTTTTGGAGTTGCTGAGTGCCTGTTATTTTAATTGATTTCAGTAATGTATATAGATGCCTGGCACCTCTGAAAACCAGGTGTCTTAGTTGGGCACAAAATCGAGGCACCCCAAATGAGTGGAAATGTTAGCCTTAATTTCTCTAACTGGATTTTCTGTCTGCAAGAAAGAGAGGATAATCGCCATCTACTTCATAGGCAGCAATGTGAAAAATAATTAGCTAAAACCTTTCAACTGATGAACAATTCCTTTCTGCTCTATAATCCTTTTCATTCTTTTGTACTCATTATGAGGACAGCCCCACTTCCATAACTTAATATTTGCAGTTCTGTTTATTTGCTTTATACACTGCGTTTTCCCTGTATTTATAGTTTGTGACAATAAGAATGTGAACTGGTTCCCGTTCAGTGTTTTTTCTTGGCTGCTTGTTGACTTGCTATTTTTGGCTTTTTCTTGGATAGTTCCTTCTCCTTGTCCAGGATAAGGATGCCAGTTGGAGTTGTCTCTAGAATCACTCCATTACATTCTTCCTCTTCTGCAGCATACCATTTTCTATCATACTATATGTATTGGAAATAGATGACAGATTCTTTAAGATTCAATAAAAAAAACCCTCATGTCCTCTTTACCTGTTTCCTACCTAGTTTAAATTCCAGCTAATAAACACTCTCAGTTTCAGTTCCAGCAGCTTATGTGGAGGCCATCCCATCTAAACATTTGCTTCTCCTCACAGCAGGCATCCCATTGTTCTGTGAACCAAAACTAGTACTTGCATCCATTAAGTTTCCTGCAGTGTTAATATTCTCCTTTCTCCACTGATGCTGAGCACTGGGAAGACTTCTGAAAAGATCAAGTTACTTTGTCCGAGTTTTCAGTTGTCTTTTTATATCCCTGAAATGCACTTTCATTTTATCAAAGCTCCCTTCACTTGTCTCATTTGTAGCTTGAATGTCAATAGTTGACAGGGATTCTCCAGTTATTTTTCACTCTCATTATCACATGCTTTATCTTGGCATTCATGAGGCAAAGTACCGTCTTTTTCCATTGATCTGGGTAACAGATATTTTGGGCTTAGTTCCTCAACACAGAGTCTCTAATTAGATTCATTTGCTTCTTTCTTTCTTGCTTGCTTGCTTGCTTGCTTGCTTGTTTCTATTTGGTGCTTTCTTGGCCAGTTATTGAGTTGCTATCTTTGAACTGTTCTTTTTCTTTATTAGTGACAGGGTATGTATGGCAGGTATCACTTGAATTACAACAGACAGTTCTCTCTTCTGCTTTTCATACTATTTCTAGTAGCCATTTCTAATAGCCAGGATGGGTAGGAATGGTATCCCTGGTCTCTGTTTGTCAGAAGCTGGAAATGGGTGACAGGGGAGGGATCACTTGAGGATTACCTGTTCTGTTCAGTCCCTCTGGGGCATCTGACATTGGCCTTTGGCAGAAGACAGGATATTCAGTGGTGGATTTAGAGTTAGTGGGGCTCTATGCTCAGCTTCGTTTTTGGGGTCCCCCTAGGAACCCAGCCAAGAAAAAGACGATTCACTCTTCCTGCGCCTCCCATATTTCATTGTTTTTACTTCATCCTCTTCCTATATTATAAGTAAAAAGAAGTAAATGAAAATAAAGTGAGGTACTTTGTTTGTTTTTTGTAGTCTAACTCTTTTTTTCATAGACCATTTGAAAATTGCTGAGTATCTCAGTGGACCACTTAATGATCTTTCCAATTATTGTTTGAACCATTAGCTAACTATTGTAAATAGCTTTCGATAAGCATTTTATTTAAAAAAAATAACTTTTTCTCAGTCCACTTGAATGGTGTTCTCGGAGCACAGATGGGAACTTCTGGTCTAGATGAAAGCTTGTATTTTCATTAAGCTAACATGAAAAATATGTAAAAATAAAATGTATAGATGACGTATGAATGGACAAATAAAAGTTAACTTCTTCTGAAGAAACATATTTTTCAATTTGAAAATAATATTCTGATAACTCTCTTTTCTACACTTCTTCTTTACAAAATCATCAATTAAGTCATTGTAAATAATATTTTGTAAAGAAGCACTTTCAACTGTCAATATTGCTGAACTTGTCAACTGTTCCTGACTCATCATATTCACAAATAATTTTTAACTCATTTCAATACAGAAAAAGATGGTTCACCAGAAGCATTTGTGACAGATATTGTTTAAAATATTTTCAGAATGGATTCTACATTTGAAAGGTTGCCACTGGCGCCACATGTGGTACGCTCTGGGTCACTGAGCATTGGCCACGGAGAGGAAGCGTGACACAGAGCCCCCAGCCCTGCCCCTTCCATTTAAAGTCTCCTTTCCCCCCCTTTCTGGGGAGCATGGAGCCAGACCCGCCTCATCTTGCCCAGGGGCCCTGCCATTCTGTCAGCCTCCTGTCTCTTGAGCTTCAAAAGCAAAATATCACAGCTCTAGAAACCAAACTGCTCTCACTTTCATTCACTCCACACTCAAAATATAGGCCCCTTGTTAATTTTTTAAACTCCGTAATTGCTCTCTCTGGAACTCTGCTGTCCAATGTGTATTTCCTGTTTGTGGCCTAGATAAATACACTTGTAGAGATTTTCTGTGCGCCTGAAATATGAAAATGGCACAAATACCAAATTGGTGTAATACTGAAATACTCTTTTTGGTCTAATTTTAACAGATTCAGTAGCAACAGCATCTGGACCATTGCTAGTTGAAGTTGCCAAAACTCCTGGTGCTGCTCTTGGGGTTGCACTAACTACCTCGATGTGCTGTAACAAACAGGTCATTGTCATAGACAAAATCAAATCTGCAAGTATAGCAGACAGGTGAGTGCTACAGAGGACCCTACATTATAGGATTACACATCCATTTAATATCAGTATTTTTGTTGTTGTTTATAGTAACTTTGCTTGGAATTTGAGATGAATTTGACTGAAGAAGATGTTGTCTGTGTTGTTAGAGTTTAAAATGAATCCATCTTGGCAGACAGTTTGTCCATACTATAGAGCTTTTAAAAAGTTTCTAAGACACCATTTTACTTTTGCTCATTCACACAGCACCAAACTACGGTAAAATCAAACCAACTCCCAACAATACCCTATGTCATCCCATAAACAAACACTGTCTCCACTTTATGGTATGTCTGAACATGTTTGTTTATGCTGTGCTGCACAGTAATTTGAAGGTTTGCTGGGGTGGGAGATATTTAAAAATATAATGCTGCAGCAGCAATTAGCTTTAAAAATAAGTACCCTGATAGAATTCTTAAAGTAAATCCCAGAGTATGAAACATTTGTCAAAGCAAGTAAATTTTGAGACTTAGCAACCGTGAAGTGCTCTTTAAGGGTACCTGGTTGATTCTTTTGGCACAGTGAAATGGAACTCCCTTATTTTTTTCTTTTTTATATTTTAGAATACCACTGAGGTATTAGAAAGACTGGCTTCTGTATTTTAGAGATATTTTATAAAGAAAATCTCTTTTTCAGCTCCATTTGAAAAATTCCCACATAGTGAGATGAAATTACACTTACAAACAAGGGGGAAAAAATTAGATATTTTCCCTCAGATGATGTAACTTCTATACTGAAGCTGTGGGATCTTTTTTTTAATTTACTTAAAATATTGTGTTTCAGCAGCAAATTTCTCCTGCATGTCGCCAGTCACCCTTCCTTTGTAATCTCCCTTTGACAATGGTGCTGTTAGTAGCACCCACTTGTAACAGTGAGTCTACAGCTCCACTGTGGGCTTGACCCTACAGTAGAACCTTTGAGAGTGACGGCCATTGATCCAGAGATGTTCTCCAGCTCAATGGTGCAGGATGCTTTAATTTTCTCCCTCTGTTTTCTCCCATTCCACAGGGGGTAACCAATTAAAGGAGCTGTCCACTTGACTGGTACGTCGGGATGCTGTGTTTGCATTTCTCAACTCATCCAGTAGCCAGTCTCTTGAGTGCAGCAAGATGTAGCATCTAGCCCCCTCCCCACCCCACTCCTTGAGTCACCATGCCAGCCCTGGTTTCATTATTTGTTTGACTACCGCATAATTTCATCATCATTGACAGCTTTTGTACTAATAAATGTTTAACTATGAATAACTCAAAAAATGATGAACTGGGTGCTTGTGTGAGGGATATGAGCAGGCTTGCTGAGTCTCCTTAAGTTCTTCTCATTTATTCTGCTGCCATTCACACATATATTACTAGTTAACTAGTACCCCGTTCCAGTTCTGTGAGTGACGTCTTGACATATACTGTGTTTGCTGACTTGTATTTAAGATTTGTACTAATAGACTTAAAGTTTGGCCAGGGACAATCCTTATAAAAAATACAAAGTTTTTCTCTTAAAAATGAAGTATCATAATTGTCATGACCAATTTGAAGGCTACAAAACTCATAATCTAATCAAAGAGCAAACTTTATCATACTGAGTTTTTTTCCCTTTGTATAGATGTGGTGCACTACATGCAGGAGACCATATTCTGTCCATTGATGGTACCAGCATGGAGTATTGTACGTTGGCAGAAGCAACACAGTTCTTGGCTAATACAGCAGACAATGTGAAACTTGAGATCCTTCCTCACCATCAGACTCGATTAGCATTGAAGGGACCAGAACATGGTAAGGGAATTTGTGGCCCTGGACCCCACTTCCTCTTTCTTGCATCTTCATAGCTACTACCATCGCTGCAAAATGGGGAAAAGATATTAAGGCAATTTTCTCTGTAACCTCTCTTTTCAGCTCTCCAGATTATGCTTCTGAAATCCCTTTGCCAGCTGCCTACTCTACTCTCAGTTTACCTCGATCTAGCCTCAGAAATTCCTAAAAATAAGGAGAGAATGTTTTGCTGATTGTACCTCTGTATAATTCCAGTCATAAAAAAGAGTTGGTGGTTATGCCTTAAGTATATGAAAAAAACAAACAAATAATGAATTATACTCAGAATAGCTTCACAAAATGGAAACAATATGGATCATTACCAACTTTTTAAAAATTTTCACTTTGAAGAGTATTATAAATGCCCATAGATTCACCTGCTTTCTGTCATTCCTGATAAGTTCTTGAGACTCATCTCTCAGTACTTCCAAAACACTGAATTTCTCTTTTAAATAACATTGTCATTGAGATGCCATCCTTCTCAAGGGAGCTTTTCAAATTACTCTGCTACTCAATTTGATATTTAAAAATTGTAATGTTTGTTTATGGACACTTCTCCATAGTCCCTACTCTAGTTCAGTTTGCTGTTTCCTGATATTATATTATAATTCCATGCTACATAGTCCTAATATTATATTCTAGAGGGGCAATAATTATAAATCTAAACATTTAACAATCTTAACAAATAATAATAATAAATCTAAACACTTTAAGTTGTGAGGAACAAATTATGGGGAGTCACTTCCACTTGGGGGAATCACATTTTTAATACATTGATATGTTATCCCTACAATAGCACTGTTTTGAAATAGCACCATAATGCGATTCTGCAAATGAAGCATAGGATATTTAAATCCCGGCTTCATTTGCAATTTCTAATGTCTTCATTTGTATCCCACTCTCGAAAGAGGGTGCAAGTGTAGACATACCCTTACAGACTATGCAACATCATGAGGCAACGATGTCATATGTGGCTGTTTTGTAGCTGTTTGAAATTCCCTTTGAGGAGGAAGTGGCTCTTTTCTGTTAAAAGTTGAGAACCATGGCCAAATGATTTTATTCAGTAGCAATCTGGTTGTATAGCTGATTACAGTTTGCTTTTAAGACAATGCTAAAATAACCACTGACCTTCAAGGCTTCTGTTATACAGGTTGAAACTCTCTAGTCGAACACTCTCTGGTTTGGCAATATCCATCGTCCAATATGATTTTACTTAGCTGGATGTGCACTTATCATGGGCATGGCCAAGTTTCCTGTGGTTCCATAAATTATTTTTTACAGCCACCAGTGCTGGCTCTCAGTGTTCTGTACTGTTGTTTAACTCTAATTTAACCCCAAATGTCTTCTAAGAGCCCAGTAAGCAGTGGAAGTGTTGGTAATGCTGCTTGACAAAATTGACCTCCTGTGGTCTGGCACATTCTCTGGTTCAGCACCATTCAGGTCCTGAGGGTGCCGGACTAGAGAGGGTTCAATCTGTATACCAATCCCCTTCATCTAGCACAACTACAATCTGGAAGCCAGTATAGCTGTTTTGTTATATATGGGCATTGAGCTTTGTGAAATGACATCAGGAGGATTCAGTGATGTGCATACAATGGTGTCTTTCTATAGGTGCTCTCGCTAGACAGATGCCTTAAGTTAACCAGAAGAGCCCAAATGTTTTGAGTATAGACTCCAGATGGTGTTACTTAAAAATCACAGTCTACTTAGAGGAAACATGCTTTATGGAAACAAATGTACTCTTAGGAACAGTCCTTCATTGGCTAAGAGATGGACTGGATGATATGAGTGCTTTGCACCACCCTCTTCTATGATTCTATGAACTGTTGAATCATTAAGGCTCTCGCTGTTGAATGCTATTTGCCCTAGAACATGTTCTGAATTATGAGCTGGCAAAAAACAAAAACAAAAAACCCTCAACCAACCCAAAACAAAACTAAAGTAAAAAAATCTAAAGAGAGTGAATGGAAGAATAGAGGATTGAGGCCCTCCTCCCCCAAAAAGCACAAGAGATCCTGTTTTTAAGGGTTTTTTTCTTTTATATTGGAATGCCAGGCTCATTCCTTTGTCTACTGTTGTCCCATGAAATTTATTGCAATGTTAAGAAATCCTAGACTGTCATAACTCAGTCAATTACTAATATACATGCTATAGGTTTATACAGAATTCTTGTTGAACTGGAATAATCATTCCACAAGATATGGAAACTTAATTTGTATCGACTTTCCACCTCACAGGACACTTTATACCTGTCTGCAGCATAAAAGAAAAAAAAACAAATGCACCAGATAATTTCCTGCTGGAAGCAGCCTTTTTAATTAAACAGGGCTCATACCAACCTGAACATAATGAAAATCTGCCTCACTGCATTATTCTTATCAGATTTTAATTTTTACACTATGGTTAAAATTCACACATTGACATAGATTATCAGCAGAAGAATCAGATGAATTTGAAAAGATATGATAGGAATCTAGAGTAGGTTTGATTCATTAAAACAAAATATTGAAATAGATTGTTACTAGGACTGCTGGGGTTTTCCTGGCCACATATCCTGTTTGCTATATACATTTTTGTAAACTTCTTCACAGTTATGTCTATTAGAATTAGATTGGTGAGCTGTTCAGGCCAGTGGTATAGCTAGGACAGGAAAAGTGGGTGGGCCCCGCTTTTAGATAGGCAGGAAGTGATGGGGGCAGCACGAGGAATGGAGCGCCCAGGGGGAAGGAATGATCAGGGGCAGGAAGGATCAGATATGCAGGTGGGATCTAGTGTCCTGTATAGAGGGGCATGAGGGATTCAGTGCCATGGGAAGGGGGCAGGAGGGATCTGATGCTCTGGCAGGGGCAAAAAGGGGAGGAGATGCAAGAGGGATCCAGTGCCCTGGCAAAATGGGGGAAGAGGGATGGGGAACCCAAGGCACACTGGCTGTACCTCTGGAGCAGAGGGGGGCTCCACTGGGGCTGAAGCACTGCCCACCCCTCCCAAACACAGTTCGGTTTCTGCCCCAGTACTAGCCCTGCCCAGACATACCCAATGAGGCATGCCCTTAAGGAGCCAGCACTGGGGCTGGAGACCAGGGCAGGAGCACGCAATGCTGGCAGGAGAGCTATGTGATCAGGCTGGAGGACAACCAACTAGTGTCAGGAGTCCCAACCTGTGGATTCAGCCTGGATTTGGGTAGGCCTGGATGCTAAGTGGATGCTGGATGCCATGGCCCACGCAGGCCCACCCATCGCTATGCCCCTGGTTCAGGCATTGGTCTTTTGGACTTTGAAGTGAGGCTGAGTGGTTCTGTCCAGGATCTGAATGTCCTAATTTTAGTGCCTTATGACAGTTTATAAAGAGGTTTTGGCAAAATATTTTCTTTAAGTCAAATACATTCCTTTCCTTTTACCTTTCCTCACTCACCCTTCGTTGTAATGAAACATTCCACTGGGCTTAGAGGAGGGAGGGGTGCATTTTTATTGAGATAAAGAAGGATTTAATGTATTCAACCAAGTGAGAGATCCTGTTTTTTCTATCATATAAAATGGAGAAAAACTATAGCTGTTCCTCTGGCATGTAGTTGGGCCTTGGTCCAAATGCAGCACATAGTGCTTAACATTACAGCCCCGATCTCCCCTCATCTTTAAATATGAAAGTGAAGCTAATGGGGACTACAGGTCATGCTTAATTTGTGCTAGGGTTTGCTGGTGCTGAGCCCTGGCAACTCTAAGTGTGGCAGTTTATAGCCCCAGCATCTTGGGGAATTCTGTGCCAGTTATGAAAGTTAAAAAAATTGTTTGAGCCTGACACCTAATTATTTGAGCCACAGCACCTTTTTCTTTACAAATTAATCACTGACAACAGGTCACAACACACTGTGTTTCATCTTGTTCAGAGTGAACAGACCATGAAGCATCTAGAGTTGCATCTCCATACTAAAAACGAGGGTAGCTATTTATCTGTATAATTGTGTATAGTTTAGGAGCAGCCTCTCTGGCTTTTGGCAAATTAATCAACGTGTCATTCCCTTCTCCCCTACCATCTTTTTCATGACAAATTTTAGCCCCCCCCCCCATTTTGCTCAAACCTGAGTAGGAATCAAATATCATCTTAATTTTAATCTGGAAATTTTTAATTTTACGGTCACCCTGCAAAATCATAAATGGTGACTTTGGACTTTTGTTTTGTCTTTATTTATCAGACCCTAAGATAGGATTTTTGTGCTGATGGCTGAGTGAAGTAGTTTATTGCCCAGGGTGATATAATGCCAATGATGGATGCTGGCAAAATTAAAATGTCAACATAGAAAATCGAAATGACTGACACGTAAACCACTTCAAATCATTGTGGGAAATGTGATTTATAGTCCCTTTTTATTTTCTTAATATATACAAGTCCTGCTAATGCTAGTGGAGATTTGCAAATCTGTAATTACTAGTCATATATCATACATCTCAATAATGTCGACTCAAGTATTTTTCTAAAAAGTTTTTAATCTTCACTCTTAAGGCCAGAAGGAAATTAGAAATTGATTCAGTACTTATCTTTTTAAAAAAGCTATAAGAAGCATTATTTCCGGGAAGATGAAAGGTTTCCATCCCTGAAGTTGGTCACAGTGTTTGCAGATCACCAAAAAAAGGGACAAAGCCATATTAATTTCCACACCCTTTTCAAACTGCTTTTATTTTTGTTATTTTTTATTTATGCAATTCAGTTACCTCTCCCTCTTCTCTGGTCCCTTTTTGTTTTCTTATTTCCTGTCATCCCTTCATATGGGCAGTGAAGGTTCAAAGGAGCAACAGGCAACTTACCTGGGATTCCTGTGCCAACAACCACAGCAGCCTCCTCACCTACCACCATTATAACACCTACCACCCTGACCATTGCAGGATGCCAGCCTTGAAATTCCAGAAAACGCCTCCTCAAAAAAACCTTCGTAATGTTCCTGCTGACATATATATATTTTTCTTCTTCTTCCTCTCACTCTTCTCTTGTTTCAGTTGCACTTTAAAGATGTGGGTGTTGCACTTGAATGATGACATGGTTATTTCTGACAAATTATGCCCTTTTTTTTTTAACGGGACAGCCTTTGTAGATTGGAAAAGGCTTGAAAATTTTCATGGTACCTGGTTTTTCAACCGTATTTCTAGATCAGTAGGTTTGAGCACCTTATGTGCAGCATAATCTTTGAATACAAAGAATGGCTTACAGATTTTATGTCAGAAATCACCTAATAAAAATGCATTTCTAGAATCAGTATCCAGAAACATTGATTTATGTTGATTCATGGGTGTGTATCAAAAATATTTATTGTATGTACTTTGCTTAAAGTATATAGTACATATTTTTATTTTTCTGTCTACAGTGTCTTTGCTAGTTCCTAGTTCCTTTTATACCTCACATGGTGTTGAAATTCTGGCTATGCTATTATCTAGGGTCATACCTAAAAATGTATATGTGTCTTCGTTACTAGATTCACAAACCATTTTTGAGCACCATACGCGCAGATTCATATTGCTGCTCTGTTCCTTGTTCTAAAGTGCTATGTGCCAAGTGTCCAATTTTTTACAGCAGCTTTGGTGTCTTCATCCTTCTCCCCTACCTCCATGAGTGCATACAGCCTGAGTTCCCTGAACATGGGGACTTTACCTCGCAGTCTCTACTCCACCAGCCCACGCGGAACAATGATGAGGCGACGACTGAAAAAGAAGGACTTCAAAAGCTCATGTAGGTAGTAATAGCTGTCATTTGCAACAAACGGGTTGGGGAAACAAGATGAGAGAAATGTTTACTGCAGTTTTACTTTAGTAAATGTATTGAAGAGGAGTTGTCAGGAGAGGGGAAGTAGTTTAGATGTTGTTCCATTTGGTGAGCAGTACTCAGCAATGTGCACTGTTAGTATCCAACACTAAAATGTGTTGATTACTTCTAGTTTGTGTAACCCATAATTAAAGATATATATTATTTTAGTGTAGTTTGCTTCAGTGCTCTCTGGATGAGTATGCAATACTAATTTTGGATGCCCCTTCCCCTAGTATTTAAACATAGTTGGGTGAATTTATCCATTCAACTTGTACAATCATTACAGTCGGCATAAAATATATACACCATTTTATTATACCAGTTGCTCTGGCTAATAGCCAAAAATAGACCTATCCTCCATGAACTTATCTAATAATTTTTGGAACCCACTTATGCTTTTGGCCTTCACAACATCCCATGGCAAAAAGTTCTACAGGTTGACTTGCGATGCATAAAATACTTTCATCTGAAGAAGTGGGCTGTGCCCATGAAAGCTCATGATACCATCTACATGTTTTATTAGTCTATAAAGTGCTACCAGACAATTTGTTGTTTTTTAAGTTTATCCCATAGGCTACGTCTAGACTACATCCCTTTTTCGTAAAAGGAATGTGAATTAGATGTATCGCAATTGCTAATGAAGCGGGGATTTAAATATCCCCCGCTTCATTAGCATAAAAATGGCTGCCGCTTTTTTTCCGCACGGAGCTTTGTGGGATAAGGGATCTTTCGGAAAAGGCTTTATTTTCCTCAAGATCAGCGTCTAGACTGACGCTTTTTTCCAACAAAGCTCCGTGTGCTATCCACTTCAAGATCCCTTTCTTGAGTGGAAACAGCTATTAAATCCCGTCATTTAGTGTGTACAGTTGGAATTATGTTTTCCAATGTGCTTTTCTTCACATTTTTTAATTCATCTTCCATTTTGTTGTCAGTTACATAGCTTAGTGAGATCACTTAGTAATTCTTTGCAGTCAGCTTTGAACTTAACTATTTTGAGTAACTTTGTATTGTCTGCAGATTTTGACCACCTCACTGTTTATTCCATCTTCCAGTTCTTTGGTGACTATGTTGAACAACACCGACCCCAGAACAAATCCTTGAGTGACCACACTATTTATCTCTTTCACTATTGTGAAAATTGACCACTAATTCTTACCCTTTATTTCTTTTTTTTTTAACCTATTACCAGTGCATGAGAGGATCTTCACTCTTATCCTGTAACTGTTTAGCTTCCTTAAGAGCTTTTGGTGTGGGACTTTGTCAAAGGCTTTCAGAAAAGCCAAGTACATTGTATCAACAGGATCACACTTGTCCCCTGGCTTGTTGACTCCCTCAAAGATTTCTAATAAGATTGGTGAGGCACGATTTCTCTTTATAAAAGTTGTGTTGATTTCCCTCCCCCATCCCCACCCAAACATATTGTGTTCAATTACATGTCTGAATGTTCTGGTTTTTACTATAATTTTAACGAACTCTCAGTGTACTCAGTCACTGGCCTATAATTGCCTCTGGAGTCTTTTTTTTTATTATTATTAATTTTATATTCACTATCCTCTAGTGGTACAGAGGCTGATTTAACAGATAGGTTACATATGATAGTTCATTGCTTTATGATATCATATGTGAGTTCCATAAGAACTCTTGGATGAATGCCATCCCAGCTAGTCCTGGGATATTATTGCTGTTTATCAAGTTGTTCCAAAACAAGTTCTGCTAACACCTCAATCTGGGAAAGTTCCTCAGATATGTCACCTAAAAAGAATGGCTCAGGGGTGATAATCTCCCTCACATCCTCTGCAAAGAAGGCCAATACAAAGTATTGATTTTGCTTCTCTGCAATGGCCTTGTCTTTTTGAGTGCTCCTTTAGTACTTGGGTTGTCCAGGGATTGTCCAGAAGCCTTTAGTATGAGTCTTTATTATAAATGTTATTATAAATTTTAAATAGTTTCCATGCAGGCATTTCACTCTTGTCATTGTTCCTTTTAATTTCTGTTTAACTAGCTTTCTCAATTTTGTGTAGTTCCCCTTTATTAAGTTAAATGCTATTGTGATAGGGTTTTTTGGTATTTACTGCCCTATTTAGATATGTTAGACTTAATTACATAATAGTCACTATTACAGAATGGTTCAGCTGTTTCGCCTGTTGGACCAGATCCTGGACTTCACTTCAAACTAAATCAAAAATTGATTCTCCCCTTCTGGGTTACAGAACAAGCTTCTGTAAGAAGCAGGGATGAATGTGTCCAGAAATTTTATCTTTGCATCCTGTCCTGAGATAACATGTGTCCCAGCTGATATGGGTGTAGTCCTCCATTATTATTGAGTTTTCTATTTTTATAGTCTCTCTGATCTCCCTGGGCATTTCATAATAAAGAGGTACCTGATACATTGAGCAGAGGGACCATTTTTATATAATTATTTTGCTAATTCAGGCCCACTTTCAGTAGTGTGAATCTGTCTTTCATTCTGAGAGTTTTTGGACATTCTCCTACAATTGGATATGTAATGATGAACCTCTTTTTGCCTGCACGGAGTCCCACCGATTTGAATTGGGCTCTGCAAATATGTGGCCCACATGGAGTACTGCTGAGGTCACTGGGGCTGTGTCTACATTGGCATCCCTTTCCGGAAAAGGGATGCTAATGTAGCACTTTGGAATAGGCAAATCCGCGGGGGATTTAAATATCCCCTGCAGTATTTGCATTAACATGGCTGCCGCTTTTTTCTGGCTTGGAGATAAGCCGGAGAAAAGCGCCAGTCTAGACGTGATTCTCCGGAAAATAAAGCCTTTTCCAGAGGATCTCTTTCAAGTAGGAATAAGAGATCCTCCGGAAAAGGCTTTATTTTCCGGAGAATCACGTCTAGACTGGCGCTTTTCTCCGGCTTATCTCCAAGCCAGAAAAAAGCGGCAGCCATGTTAATGCAAATACTGCAGGGGATATTTAAATCCCCCGCGGATTTGCCTATTCCAAAGTGCTACATTAGCATCCCTTTTCCGGAAAGGGATGCCAATGTAGACACAGCCCCAGTGACCTCAGCAGTACTCCATGTGGGCTCGGCTCAGCTTGTGGGTAGAGGGCATTAGTCAGAGAAGAATTTTCACTTGTTGGCCAAGTTTCTCTTGTGGATGGGAATTGTGGGATTCCACAACCTGCTCTCAAAAATTTGCAAATCAAGTAAATGTGTCAATACAAATCATCTCTGATTTTTGTTGTAAATAACAAATAAGTCCATGTGAGATTAAGGGGTTTGGTTTTTGTTTTATTTGCCTAGTCCTTTAGCAGTGCAACTCTTTTCACACAGTTTTGCTGTTCATCATATTTCTTATCTGATCGTCCATTGGAACCAATACATTTTACATACTATCTGCTAATATATCCTTTCAGATTATTAGAAGATATTGTGCCAATTCATACTATTGCATTGATACAATTGAGTATCATAATGTATGAATCTCATTCTCTCTCTACACATGCAGAAAGGTAGAGGGATTATTATACAAATACTAATTGATTTAGAAAGGAATAAAAGTAAAATACTGCCCAAGGCAAAAATATTTCCTGAGATGGTGGTAGCCTGTCGACAGTGGTCATTCTCTGTGGCTGAAGAAACTGTTGTTAACTGAGGCAATTTTATTACCAGCATTGCCTCTGGAGACAGTCGCTGTTTGTTTGTGTGATATTTTTATATTCTATTTAATAACCATAAGTCTTTGAGGCAAATTCTCTCCTGTAGAGAGGACCAACATAAAAGGACAAACGTGGCACATGGGCAGGGCTCGGCCTAGCTGATTTTTACCTTTTAATCACATACAAACTACAACATCTAAGAATTGCTGGTGCATTAAGGAGAAATTAGAGTTGCAGTCACCCCAGGAAGTGATATTAAATCTCATGCTTCAAGTCTTAAAACAATCCTTAGAGATTAGGATGGCATCTAAAGTGAGTAGAGGGAGGCAAATTACCCACATCTGTTCATTGTGGGATTCTTACACCTTCCACTGAAGCATCAGGGATGGTGTAGACGGAGCTTGGTCCTGCCTTGAGGGCGGGGGGCTGGACTCGATGACCTCTTGAGGTCCCTTCCAGTCCTATGATTCTATGATTCTATCTGATGCTGGCTGTTGTGACAGACAGGACATTGCACTGACTAGATGGACCTAGGGTCTGATTCAGTATGGCAATTCTGATGTCCCTCAGAAATGGCCAATTCCACTGCCAAGCAGAAGAATTTGGGCAAGCCTGCCATCTCCATGTGAGAAATTGGGGTGGACAATAATTTTTGACCAAGGGCCACTTCAGAAGGGGCAGGGCCAGAACACTTCTGTGCTTCCCCACCCACAGACCCTGATCTAAACAGTGTTTGGTCCTGCCATAAGGGCAGGAGACTGGACTTGATGACCTCTCAAGGTCCCCTTCCGTTCTAGTGTTCTATGAATCTATGATTCTGTATCAGAGGCAGCAAAGGGGGGCGGGAGAGAGCTGATGTTGGGGGGAGCCGGCTTAACAGCTGTTTCCTCTGGCACCGTCTCTGCAGGAGAATGGGGTGGCAGAGGCACACTGGGAAAATGCACGAGTGAGGACTGAAGCAATCCCTGCTCATGCTGGTCTGACTGCTGTGCCTCTGCCTTTGAAATGTAGCAAGAGCCCCATAGGGGTCAGTGGGAACACGGGGCAAGCAGGGACTCAAGCAGTCTCCGCACGTCTGGAATTCCCTGCTATGCCACATCTATCTTTTAAATGTAGTAAGAACCACAGAAGGCTCTTAATACATTTACAAAGCAGAGGTGAAGACGAGCTAGTGAATATCCTGCCCCACCCCTTATCGACTAATTGAGTAGTCGATGAAAATTCCATCGACTACTCGATTAGCTGATCAATTGAAATTGAACATCCCTAGTGCACATAAAATTCATTCTACATAT